TGGATATGGTAGAGGGCATGGCAGGGGCTGGGGTGGGGGAGATGGGCTCCCAACAGCAAGGGCAGGAGACTGAAAACCCAAGGAGCTGGATGTTAACCTCACTAGTGAGCAAAGACCAGCCAGGAACCACCCCTTTCCCTGGCTTTGCATCCTGACTGTAGTTCACTGGGGTGAAAAACCAATGCCCTGCCTTTGCTCAATCTCCCAGCTGCCTTTTTGCCCCCTCCCAATGGCCTCTCATGCCTGTCTTCCAGAAGTTGTAGCCTGCTCTGCATGATGGAGTCCATGCCCCTCAGATCTGTGTGGGGCTGTCCAGATTGGCCCTTGCTTCCTTAAGTCCTTGACAGGCATCCAGGCTTCCTGCTCCATCCAGGACCCTGCTGTCAGATATTGCCAGCCTGGGTACTATGGACAGTGGAGCCTAGTGAACTGAGCTGGTCCTGGCTCACGTGACATAAGGCTGTTAGCTGAGTGCAGCACCACAGGCCCAGCATCTACAAGGGCCTGGTACTTCACAGCCTGGCTTCCCAGGAGCCCGGGTTCTGCTCACGGCACCGCTAAGGTCCTAGACCTGTGCTGCCCTGCCCAGCCATGCAGGCTCTGCAAGGAGCCTGAGGAGCAAAGTAGAAGCAGCTGTCTCCAGCCCTGTTCCCTCAGACACTCCCCTAAATGCCTCCTGGCAGCACCCCTGCTGCAACAGCCTTTGCCCCTGGGTGCTCCTAGCCTATACTCTCACCAGCACCCAGAGCCTTATGGGAACAGCTGTGGGGAGCAGGAGGCAGCCCGTCAGCTGCCGCCTCTGCACCTGGGGAGGGCTGGGCCAGTCCAGCTGCTGATGGTGGAGAGGCCCCACCCCAGCAGCAGGTAGGAACTGGGCTGGAGCTGGTGCCTGCCTGAGGCAGGTGAAGGTCTGTTAGCAAAGCTTCCTCCCTTTCAGGGTAAGACCTGGGTGCCCTCAGCCTGAAAACGGTGATGCCTTTGTGAGGTGCTGTGGGAGGAGTGCCCACCTGAGCCCTGACCTCAGCTGGGGGAGATGGACTATCTGGAGCGGGTGGGAACAAGAGGCAGGTGCTGTTTGCAGCTCCCAAGGCAGGCAGGACTGAGAGCCTTTTCCCTCTGCTTGAGGGCCCTGGTTAGCAGCTGTTTCCTCCTCCCCTCCTCCGTGATTCTGGTTACCTCTCTCTTTTGCTGCTGCTGAGCTGCCAGGAAACAGCACAGGTGTGCAGCTGTGCCATGCACTGCCCAAAAGGTAAGTGAGGTGGCTGCATGTTGGGAGCTGCTGAGAGCTGTGTGGGTGCTGGCTACCCCACCCAGCCAGCTCCTGGGGGCTGCATGCTGCAGTTATGCTCCAGGCTCAGCAGGGAGATGTGAGAGTGAAGGGGAAAACTCTATGGGTCTAAGTAGCTGCTTCCTACCTACTTGGGTCTTCCCCACATGCACCAGGCCCTGTTAACCTCTCTCCTGGGGGGCCCCAGCTGGGGCCCTTGCAAAATGGCTGTAATGAGAAGTGGCTGCTTAGACGGCAGCTGCTCTCCAGGCCCAAAGGCCTCAGGTTAGTTCTGCATGGGGGTGTGGGAGAGCTGGGAAGACCTGCTTGTCCTCCCTCAGAAGATGCAGGTGCAGCCCACGGCGATGGTCTCCATGACCATCCTGTACTTCTTGTGGCAACCCTTCTTCTTCCTGGGGGCCTTGGCCCCTGGCTGGCATAGCAGGCGGCGGACAGGCAGCCTGCTGTAGATGGGGATGCTGGCCATGGTGCGGTCTTCTTGCATAGTGAAGGGGTTGATGCAGCCGACACAGAGGCACTGCGCCTCTGGGATGTCCGTGGGAATCCGCATTGCATCGTGATTTATGCTGTGAAAGAAGAGAGGGTGCAGGGACACGGCTCAGCCTGGGCAGGCCCCATTGGAATAGGTAGGGTTTTCCTCCTTGGAAACGGGTATGGGTGCCACAAAAACTGCAAGCCAGGACCTGGGTATGCAAGGAGCAAGCCTCCTCATGGAGAAAGGGGCTTGCTGGAGCTCTCTCTGCCTGGCTGCCTGTGCTGCACTAGCCACAAATGGAGGAACGTGGTCCTGTGGCAATGGAGCAGCAGCTTGTGAAGTGGGCTTAGTGCCCACTGTAGGGTTACACACTATCTAACTGGGGTTGCCGTCAGCTGTGAGCCCTGTTCTGTGCGCGGAAGGGCCTTACCCGGGCTGGGGAGCACCCATCCCAGTGGTGCTTTGCCCTGCAGCCTCACCTGTAGGCCCACGGAGACAGACTCCTCTTGTTGGGACTCCAGAGTCCCAGGCTGACCTGGCACTTGGTGTCAGGGGGCTCCGAGCTGTTCCTCAGCTGGCGTACCATCTCCTGAATGCTCTCCTCATATTCCTCCACCATGGTGTATGTATCATCCATGGCCAATGCATTTGCCTTCAGCCTGGGGTCTGGGGGGGAGGTCTGGGCCCCCGGGAGCTGGACCCTGTCCCGAGCCTGTCCTCTCCTTCCTTTGACTGCTTTGCTTCGGTCTTTTGCTTCTGTGAAGGCAGCTGGCATGAAGGCCAAGGAGAAAGCACAGAGCAGAAGCTGCAAAGGAAGGTGGGACAGGGTATAACTTTCCCAGCGCTGACCCATGCTTAATCCACCCTTCTACTGGGATGTGGGTGCCTGAGAGGGGATTCTTGCATGTAGTCAGAGCTGGACACCAGCATGGGCAAACCAGGTGGCCATCTAGGGTCTGGACAGAAAGGAGGCCTGAAAATGGTAATTT